ACACTGCTTGACCATCCGACACGAACTCCTGTTGGATCACCTCTAATACCTGCTATCTTTATTGAACTGTGAGCTATAACTACAATTTATAGTTTGCTCCAGTCTTACACACAGGTTAGGTGTTGGCGATGCAGTAATAGTGCCCAAAATATCAGCAGAGGCTAATCAATTAGTGGCGGCCTTGATGTTTAAATTGTCCCTATCTCATGAGCTTAAATGTCAATGGCTAGTTGGCGAGAGAGATTTGTTTTAAAGGAAAGCCACCGAGTGGGTGCAGATGAAACCTTTTCTCTCGTGTTGAATTGTTCCCCGTATCGTTGGGCCCTCAGTGATAGCATGGCCTTTTTAGTTTCCCCTGAGGGTTCGTCCTATTGTTGTCCTTTCTCAGCCGTCTGCGCTGATCTCTCCTCTTACCCCCATAACCGATTCAATGAGGCTCTGCGATTCTATTGGTGCTCCACTTTCCCATGAAAGGGTTTCCATGGAAACCAAAAAATAATGCAGACCCTCAATACTATTACTCTCCACCAGCTAATAGCTTTCTAAACTGCAGTTCAGGAGAGACTACCTCTGCAACAGGCTTCAGGAAAAATTGTGGCCACTCTGTTGCTCAGTACTACATCCCATACATAATGATGACAATGATGAATAGACTGAAACAAAATGAAAAGAGATTGCAGTGTTGTATTGCTTGGGGAAACATTTGCTGAGCCACATGGTGAATATTTATTTTAAAATGACTCTTTCAATGAACTGCATATCCCCTGGCTCCCCCATGCGTGTCTAGCCACCATGGGGCTGTTACTGATTCCCTGAGCATGTACTTTGTAGTGTCTGAGTTTAAAGCTCTGTGATAAGAGACTGTATCATTCCAGTGCATCTCCCCACTTCTCACATTTGTCAGTTTTTTTCACTCAGGCTGGTATTGCCTTTTCCAGATGTTATCAGGGCCCTGTATTCTGTATGGGGGATGGTGCATGGCTGCTGCTGTCAGCTGGGTTCTGTGTCCTGATGAATCTGAAGTCTGCTGGCAATATGGTATGTTGACGGGGTGATGTGGCTATCTCTTCCAACCAGCATACTCCTGGGGTATTCTCCACCCCCATTCAGAATGTGAATACCCTGTATTTCACCATCTAACATGGCAAGAGTTGCATGCTGTTCTGGCAGCTTTTGCCATAGCTTATGCAGTACCAGTGCTTTGAAACCGGCTCCAAACTATTGTCTGTCAAAACTACCACTGACAGTTTTTGCACATCAAAGCTGGAATACCAGCAGTTTAATTGGCTCTTGTTGCCATATCATTATTTTCAGCTGGGAGACACTTGTGGCAAAGCAGTTTAGAAACAGGGAAAAAGTTTAAGGCATTCATGCTCATTAGATACACTTGGCTGGAGGCGTACCGTACACTGACAGTTAAGGCCAGCGATGTGTGGTAGGAAAGCAAAGTATTCTACTTTCTCTGAATAATGCATGAGTTCAGATGCTCCTCAAGGTCATGTCAGAAGCAGTATGAGGAGGCTGTGGTGTGTCGGGTCTTCTAATAAAGGATAATTAACTGATTGAGTAGATACGCACATTCTAATGGCTCAAGGCAGATATTAAAATTTTACCTGCCCAGGACACGGGACTGGACTGCTACTGTTCTTTTTTTATATTGCCTTCCAGCTGAGAAGTGAAATGTTTGCACAGAAAAATAAACTCTGTTGCTGATTTAGATTAGCTCACTGTTGGGAGTGAGTGCTTCATACATAATAAATGCAAACTCGATCATTTTAAGTGTCCTAGAATTTTATTTTCAGTGCTTTTCAAGCTCCTAGTCTTGTTCCGCTTAAATGAATTGCACATACCTAGACAAATGTGTTTTTCTTCCTCCTTGCTGGTGCCTCGCTGTGTATCTGTTTCATTAGCTCAGTCGTGACCTCTGTTTCTTCTCTTGTTCTCCTGTCCAGCAGCCCATGAAAACAGGAGAAGAGAGAAAACCAAGAGAAGTCATCAGCTTCATCTGAACAAAGACGACGGACAAGCAGATACACATGGTATGGTTGTATTTTATCTACAAATCAATCACATGTCTTAAAAACACGTTTAACTTCAGTGGATAGTCTTGTGTCAAACATATTTCTGCCCTTAGCTTTCCCTAAGCATCTGTAGTGTGGGGGTGTTGCCATAAATGATTTCCACCAAATGCAAAAGTGATTTCCCTCCAGCAGATGTGTTGAATCAGCAAGAGAAACAGCAGAGAGTGCTTGTTGACAGACTCTTTTCAGTAAGATGCTGACAGCACGGTGCAAAACCATTGTTACCGTCAACAGGCGGCACAGTGCTGGTGAGAGCCGGCGTGAGAGGCTAAGCATGTGAACAAGCAGACAAACACTTTTGTCCTTTTACCATAACAACAGCCCTGCTCTGGTCTTTGTTAGCCTCTGATTTGCATTGGCATTTGTAATATTAGTATTCCAGGCACAGCTGAGTAGCAGACATGTATGGATTGAAAGGTTAAAGGGGAGTTTAGACCCAGACACATCAGCTGTGATCAGTCATAGCACATAAAAGCAGCCAGCCAGACAAAAACAGGTGTGTGTTACATGTTCAAGTGACATGTAAGATTATAAGCAGATTCTTGAGCCATTTTCTATTATGTAAATATGATCTTTAAGAATAATTCTGGTTTATAATAACTTAAGGTCTCTATTTTAACTAACCCTTAGCTATTAAATAAAAAAGGCATGCCTTTCATGGCTATCAGAAACTCCTCTCAATAAAATGCATAATCGATTCGAAGCCAAGTCAAGTCATGTGACCAAGTCCCACATCTCTTAGACATTAGATAATCATGCTGGTTTGAAGCAAAGTTTAACAAACTTAGTTAGAGGAGAAAAGACAGGCAACATATGAAAATTCTCACCCAACATTTTAGTTGTGTCTGATTTGTATATGCTTGTTGCCTCATTATATGAAATTGAGGAACCAATACTGTACTCCCAGATGCAATCACTTTTTATCAGTGCTCTTATAATCACTGAGCCTGAAAGTTCGTTCTTGACCTGGGAAACAGTAATAACAAACTCCATCAGCTGAATAAGACTGTAAACAAGGCTCAAGTTGTAATCAACTAAAATTAAAGGAGAGCTTTTTAAGTTTTGTGGTAAATTGTTTAAGCGGTCATAATCTCGACCAAGTGCTCCAGAATCACACAGAGTTACATTATTAAGCACAAACTGTACAGTACAAGTTGCTTCTGTTGCAGCAAATTACAACTTCTGATAAAAGAATCACATATTTTTGACACTGTTCATGCAAAGGCATTCACACAGTTGTGGTTTATTTCTGCTATGTTTATGCTACTTGCAGTGGGGCCTTTAATATATGTGGCTCCCATGCAAACACAAGCATTCACATGCTTTTTCCTCAAGGCTTTGTTTTGATGATTGCGTTTGAAACCCCAGCCCTGTAACAGAACTTAGGTTACGCCGTTGCTTTGGCTGATTTGTTTTTCCTTTTGTCGAACTTTAGCTGAGTGTATTAAGGTTGACACGTGTGTGTGCTGCAGGAAGGTATCAGGATAGAACAGCTTTTCAGTTTGCTACATGGGAACTAGCTGCAGTCAAACTAACATATGGCCTTGCAACTCAGTGTGAGTGATTGCTCATTAGACAAATGGCTGGCCAAGCTGTCCTCCTGTCGTAAAGTGCTCGGCTCTGCTCTCTTTTGTTTTTTAAGAGGAACTAGTGCTAAATGGAAATGCCAAACACTGCTCTGCAGACAAAGGCCACTCTCACCTCATATCCGGGTTGCCGTGGAGACCAGGGTCCTTATTGGAGGGCTGGCAAGACTCCAACATGTGCTAAAAACAACCCCAATGGATTTCACTAAATTGTGTATTTGAGCCATAAGAAAGTGACAGTTCTGATTGTTTGTTTCATATTTCAGATCTTTGTAAGGATTTGTTGTTGTATGAGCACTTTCATGATTGATTTGGTGTGTATTGTGTTGTTCCTGTCATGTTTACTCACCTAAGTGTCCTTTTGTGTTTACTCCCCTGAGGCTGAAAGTATTGTCTTTCCATAAATCTCTCACTGTTTACTTCTGCTGAGTCCATCTGTCAACTCTCTTTATATGGAGAATTAACAAAGACAGCAACCTCAACTTGAACAATATTTAAAATGCTGTCTGGAGAGAGCATCTTCAACATTTTGCCTCTTGCCTGACAAACACTAGTGAAAGCGGAGGTGGTGAGATTATTGATTGGATTTTTCAAACTTTTCGTCAAGCAAAGAGTTGGTATCGATTGCTGATCCTCATGACTCTGACATAACAAGACTATTTTTAATTGATTGCATGAGCTTGTACAAAACCTCATCAAAGAAAGAGTAAGGCAAGAAGGCAGAAGATTAGGGAAATAATTCTCTGTGTTGTCATCCCTGTAATTATTGGGCATTTTGTTTTGGATTGAGCTCATTTTGGTGGGAAACGCCAACAGCAGTGTGTCATCCTTCAGCATTCCTCATGGGAAAAGCCCGAGCTAAGCTAAGTCCTAACAGGCAGTAGTGAAGATGTGTCTGTGTGTTCATTGTGTGGCGCTACCACATGCCCGCAGACAACCAGCGGAGTAAGAGCTGTAACTTCAGGATCGACCGTGTGCCTGGGTCTGGTATTGATCCAGCAGCGCACAGCCAGTTTGTATCTTCATTCAGCCAGATAAAGGTGCCGGCACAATTAAGTGAGAATCTGTGCTTTGAGAGAGTGAGGATCTCACGCGCACACACAATAGCGTCCAAGAGAAGCCAAAAAAAATCTCAACTGAATCACGTCCTCTGCTGGAGTTAACCCCTGCTGATCTGTCCTATCTAGAGAGCTGGATAATCGATTTCACTGTAGGAGTATGAGCAGCTGTTACTATGAACCAACAGCTGGAAATGTGCCCAGTTGGGATGTCAAGAATGTGGCCTGGAGTGCTGTTGACAACACATGGCCATTGTGTTTCAGCATTTGTTTATTCTAGAAGTCTTCTCCAGTTAATAAGCCTGTTGTTCAGGAGTGTGTCAGCTGCCTGGTCAGAGGACTCCTGCCCTTGGGGATCCACACAATCTCATTTACAAACTGAACGGGTCAGGAGAGTGCCACTCACATCCTTAGATAATAACTGCTTTAAATTCACAGCACACATGTTGGAACAATGGACTAAAATTATAAAATGGCTTTGAAAGTCAGAGCAAAATCATGAGAGACTTTTTTTGTGGTGAAATAGCAATGACCTAAATGTGCAGAGCCTGATAATGTTCACCAAACCTTTATGTGTACAGAGAAAGCCTGCCCGAGGGTAGATTATTTGTGTATCTACCTGAGCATCAAGGCAACAAGCCTACTGGTTTCCCAAGCTTCCCAGCAAGGTTTTTATGCTCTGTTCTGTGTGAGCTACACCCACACATGCTGTGAGCTGGGTTGCTTTTGAGCTACTTTTGTACACTTTCCTTGTTGTCTGTATGCCCTCTAAAGCAGCCTACAGTGTTATAGCTGCCTAGCATTCACCACACTTCAAAGCTCCTCAGTGTGACAGCACAGCCCAGGGCTCATTCTCTCCTAATTGGAGGTTCATTAAGGGACATTGTGTGCCTCAGGGGAGCTCTGCTCGCTGCCAGAGAATCCTGTCTTTATTCAGATTTTGGGATGTTTACTTGCTGCAGCTGATTTAGGAAGTCAGGGGGAAATTTGAAAATGGGTTTTTAATTGAGATAAAGGGTTGTGTGGCTTGTGTGCAGCCCCTTAGTGTCATTGTCAGAGGGTATTAGCACACTCTGGAGGGAGCTTTAGAGTGGCATACAGTAGATGGAAAAACAAACCCGCTCCAGCTGCCTTAGGGAACCAGAGGACAATTTGTGCCGTCCCCAGGGTTCAGTTCCAGGTGATCATTTAGAGGGTCAATGACATTTAAAGGGGTCAAGCTCCAATCCTTATAATCTCATCCGGTTTTCAGCATTAATGATTATTTGTTGTGCAAGCTCATGCTCAAGATGAAGTCAAGTGGCTGGTTATTAGGGCGGCGAAGGGTGGTGACTGCTCGACAAGGAGCAGACACAGTGTCTTTGTCATGCTGATCCATTTGTCCAGTGTGGTGGCTGTAGTGGAACAGAGAAATGTGGGCTCACTTCATTAATTGTGCTGAAATTGTCAAGTTCAAAGAAAACCACCCAAGAGTGTGCTGTTTATATACTTTGCCCTCTCATTGTTGGTCTCTGTCTTCCTTATCTTTTAATTACAGTGAGTTGACATGGCCGTCACAGTTGATTGTGCTGCCATCAGCCAAACAGCCCTTTGGTTTTCTGAGTTAAGTATTAAAAACCCTGTAGCAATGTTTCAGAATTCCCTATACTGGGAAGAATGTAGGTCAGATGGGTTTGCCCTCATTACATTGCTCTGGCTTTTGTTGGTCTTGTGGAGCTGATTTGGGATCAGTTGTCATTAATCCACTATCAAACTCGACCAAGCCGGGCTCCAAAACCCAAGCTGGCTGTGGATCCATCTTCACCAAATGTAAACAGTGGGATCTTATGGCTATGAGGTGTTTCATTGCCGCCCACCAGCGGCCAGGGTCTGTCAAAGGTTTCTTCCATTAAAGGGAGTTTTTCCTCCCCACTGTCGCCGAGTGCTTGCTCAAGGGGGATTTGTTGGGTTTTTCTTCTATAATATTAATAATAATAGTAAGGTCTAGACCTTACTATGTAGAGTGCCCTGAGACAACTTTTGTTGTGATTTGGCGCTGTACAAATAAAACTGAATTGAATTAAGTCAGTAGTGGGAGAGTCTGGAAACATAGATGTAGTCGGCTTTCACTGAGTATCTCAGGGCAAACTGCTACTTACAGTAGATTGTTGGATTGAGGACATACAGTATTTCCACCTAGCACATGTTTTGTTTGCAAAGATAGCAGTGTAGTAGTCCTTGCTGATATGTTTGTCATGTTTGTTTATACTGGCTGCTTTTGGGTTAGTCTGTACAAACACAACACCACACTGCTAGCTTACCAAGGCAGCAAACCTAATTTGTCAAGGTTGTGTCTTGGCTGCAACTTTTGGAGTGTCAGCCATATTCACCTTGTGTACATAATGTACCCTGCAGAATATTCATAGAGACTTAATGGCCCGATTTGGCTGGGCTGTGATTGATGAGGCCATGAGATCCCATGAGAATCATGGGAAAGACCAAGTGTTTACTATGCACTTTCTCCAGGGTCTTCATTGCAGCATGATTTATACTATGCTGAGTTGCACCATAGGCTTGTTTTATGGAGCCTCGCTAGGCACATATAGTCTACTTCATTCTTAAGCATCCAGTGCATTTTAATGCATAAAAGAAAACTGACTCCAGATCTAGCACTTAGTTTGAACCTGAGACCACAGGGGTGAAGCTGGAACCAAAATCAGGCAGCGCTGAGAGTTTTTCCAGCCGACTCCTTCTTCACCTTCCTCCTTCTCCTTACTCTTACTCTTCCTCTCGTACTTCAATAAATGCAGTTTGCACTCTTTATATGGGCCCAGGACTCGGAGAGCAGGAGGGTGAAAAAAGGTCCTTTCTGATGCTTTTCTGTAGAGTGTAATGAATGCAAATCTCAGTCAAGACCTCCTGTGCCCTCATTATGCCTTTCAGTGGGTCTTTGTGAAGGGAAGGGTTAATTAAAACCCATCTAGGCAATAAGGCTGTTGCTTGCTCTCAGAGCACTACTAAGAGTGTTATCAGTGCCTAAACATATTGTTATGATTTAGAGGAGGTGTTTAACCATAGCTCTAAATCAATTTCCCTGGGTCATGGGAGGAAAGAAGGAGACAGAAAAATAATAAGCCCTCAGGCTGGTGAGAGGAGGAAATGTGCTCATACTGTGTTAACTCGCTCCCACAGCCGACAAAGACTGCCTTCACATTTAGTGTTCAGTTTCATTGCCATCAGCAGATTGCACAAACCTACAGTGAGAGAAAAAACTTTGGAGTTTAACAGCAGAATAAAAAAACAAACCAGTGCAATCACACTATGATAATGAAAATATAACAGACTGGAAAAATATATAGAAAAACTGTTTAAAAAATATTGAAAGCTGTATTTCTGTGTAAGATATGCAATGACCCGTTGGTAGTGGTATGGTGAGTTTATGGTTCGTTTCACCTGAAAATGTGAATTTCTGAGTCGATTGGATGTAGTTGGGGTGACAGGGTCAAGGCTGAATCTCATTTGAGTGACAGCAGAACCCCTTCAAAGACGGACAGGAATCAAAGCTGACGTCGATCAGGCTTCACCACTTCTTCAGTGAAGCAGAGCAATCACCGAGAGGAGTGCTCTGACAGCACATCAGGCTGTGAAAAGACTGCCTTAAGATTATGAGATTACATCTGGCAGTTGAGCTGCCAAGTATAGACAAAAGAAGTGAAAAGAAGGTGTTTTACTTCTTAGCTTTTCTGTTTTTTTGGAGCTGGCAGGGTGTAGTTGCCTAGTTGTGTAAACCTACTTACACTTCCTCAGAAAAATCAATTTTTAATCCACTTGTTACCCGGCCTTAGCCCTGGCTATCACTATGGGACAGCAAATTAATAGTCAGACCTATAAAGCAAAGAGTGCTGGTTCATTTCTGCAAAATAATTAATTTTTTTCTTTCCCTGACACTGTAATTATAGCTGCCCCACAGATAGTTTCCACTTCAGTTTTTGCAGAAACACCCCCCCACCCCCCACCGCCCTTAGGTGGATATTATGTTAATTTGAATATTGGTGGATTAAACAAATACTTCAGTCAGTGCTTTGTGGGGTATCAGGTATATACAGTGTAGGTGTACACGGACATGGATACTGAGGCACTTGTGTTATCTCCTGATGCAAGAGAGTCGTTCTTCATTAAGCAGGAGTGCTTCCAGGACAGGCCTTCATTGGAGAAAGTGTGTTTGTGTCAGATAAAGGACTGGCTGATGGAAGCACGGGGCTCCTGCCTCGCATTACATTAAGAAGAAGAAACTCCATAGTAGGGGCCATACGTAGTCAGCTAATGCGTATGGAGCCCGGCTAGTCGGGACTCATATCCCTGAAATGCTCTGAGATAGACAGGCCCTTGAGTTACGCTGAACCCAGGGACCCCATCTGTCCAGAGACAGGCAGTGCTGATAGGGAATCAAGTCATCTGACTGTGAAAGCACATTTTAAAATACAGAACATGTTACAATGTGTGATGAGATGAGTTTTGTCAGGTTAGGTTGATATTATGTAGTCTGGCTTTATAGTTACCTATGGATTGCTGAGAAAATGAAGCTGGTAAAGTGCGCCTGAGGAGCTAACACAAGGATCTTCTGCTGAAATTGGACCAAACAAACTGACAGGCCTATGTGTGTTTTGTATGTTTGACTGGCAGAACTCATTAAAAATGTGAGCAAGTTTTTGCAGAGTATTATTTTCTCTGAGTGCCTGTCTAGCTTGCAGCAGAATGAGAATACTGAAGACATTTGGCAGGATTCATCAAGTGGCACACTTTATGTTGTTTTTTCTCAGGGGCAGGGAGAGGCTTCAGCACAAGGGACAACCATGGAGGGGGATTGTCTCAGCTGCATCAAGTACCTCATGTTTGTCTTCAATTTCTTCATCTTTGTAAGTATTTTTCATCTCTCTTTTAAAGACACGTAATCTTGCGATCTCTGAAGTTAGTGTCGGTCTAACGACAGCATATGGGCTTCTGGCTGCCCCCCGCCCAACTGACTAATGGAGCCACATTTGCATTTCATTAGACAGAGGCAATCTTGATTCTATCAAATTCTCCTCTGATTAGATTTCAGTGTGCTGACACACATCTGAGGCACACTGTGCCATGTGGAGTTTATGACTGGCACCTGAGTTTATCAGTCTTGATCAGACAATCAAGGGTAATCTTGTTAGTCTGAGCCAGTAAAGGGGAAGGCGGGTGGATTGGAATAAGAAGGTTTGTCTCCTGGTTCCCTGCTTTATTAAGCGCAGCCAAACCATTTAGAGACTGCCGAGGCGTGGTTGTACCAGGCTGGGCTAACAATGCAACCAACAGAGCAAAGAATGAACTTGGCTGTTAGCAATGCTAACGGCCACCGTTTTCCACTGATATTCTTTTGTGTCTTTTTGTGGCCATTCTACCCTCATGTAACATTTTTAAGCCAAATGATCTTTCAAAATGGCTACATCCTCTCCTGATAGCACAACCTCTGCCTCAGAGCTGATGTGGTGTTCATTTGCAGAAACCCAGGTATCTCACTATGACAGGAAGAAGGGGGTGTGGTAAAAGTGCTTAAGGCTCGGATTTCTTCCCCCTGCCTCAATACATTCTTCACTTAATCACATGAGTCACCCCACAGTGTCTGCAGATAAGGCTTTGGTGAAAGGGAGGATGGAGGCTGTAGTGCTATGCATTTCTTTAGCAGGTTGAGGGTGTAGTTGAAGCAGGATAGATACCGTATCTCTACCCCCACCCTCAACAAGATATTATGGCTCTGTAGACATCCAACCTTTTATCCCTTCCTCACCTCTCACTCCAGCCTTTCAGAAATTTGCAGTACCAGCATGTTGCTGGTGGGGGAAAGTACATGTTTATTTTCTGTTGTATGACATCTTGTTGAATGCTTCTTGTGCTCCTGGTGAGCTATCCTCTGAGTTTCCATGAATTTTTAATGTGTAGTCAGTTTCTCTTATGTCTAACTAGTGTTTTCTTTCCTTTTCACTCCATCAGTTAGGAGGCTCTTTTCTCCTGGGAGTGGGAGTGTGGGTGCTAGTGGACCCCACAGGGTTCAGGGAAATTGTAGCAGCCAACCCCCTGCTTTTCACTGGGGTCTACATCATCCTCGGCATGGGAGCCATGCTGTTCCTTCTGGGCTTCCTCGGCTGCTGTGGGGCTATCCGTGAAAACAAGTGTCTGCTCCTCTTTGTGAGTTAACTGACAAATTTAAAATATAGTTCTCTAACTGATCTTGTTTGTGTGCATGTGTGTTGATTATTCTGTTTGTCAGTTTTTAGACTGCCATGCTTGAGACAGAAAATTTTAAAGACAAAACACCCTTTTATTTGCCTTCATGCCTTAAGTCTCATGCAGTTAATGCTGAGCGAAGGTGGCAAAGCCAAGATGTGATATGCACTTTTTTTCTAACACACATCCGCCTTGTCCTGCTCACTTTTTGCTTTTTTTTTTTTGTTTCATTGTAGTTCTTCATGTTCATTCTCCTCATCTTCCTAGCCGAGCTGGCTGCTGCCATCCTGGCCTTCATATTCCGGGAGCATGTAAGTTGCCTCAGTATTTACTCCACCATTAATCGCCGGTGTTCAGTAGGTCTGGCTACTAAAATGTAATCCTGAAAAGTGTCATAGCTTTTGTCAGTCAGATTTATTTGTCTTTTTTGTAAAACTGGAAATTAAAAAAAAAGGATTGAAAAATTGATGCAAAAGACAGGGTTCCCATGTGTCCTGGAAAACCTAGACAACCTGGAAGTTTTAAAAACCAGTTTTCCAGTCATGGAAAAGTCATGGAAACTGAAATAAATTGTACGATGTCCTGGAAAAACACTTCATCATCCTGGAAAATTAATTTTCCCATTGTTGTATTTTTCTTTTACTGAGAGCAAACTGTCAGATCTCAGTAGGAGCTGGCAGCTGAAATTATAGGGCAGTGTGTGAGATAAACTTAGAATGGGATATCATTATCCGCAATGCCCATTGCCAATAAACTTACACAGATTCATTTTGAAATTATAGGAAAAAAAAGATGCTTCTTGAGTGTTGCTGTGTTTATTTTTGCCTTTTTGTTGTTAGGGTCAAGTCAGAATGCTTTTTTTTAGTTATGCTAAACTCTACAGAGTCAGGTTTTTCTTCTTTCACCCTAACCTGTGAGGTAAAAGAGTCTGTGGAGAGAGAGAGAGACTAGGAAAGCTGCAGAAAATAAAGCTCACACATTTATTGTAGGACACTAACAGTCATAAAGTCAGGGACTGAACATCTGCATGTGTGTTGAGCGCGACAGTCATCAATAATCAGTTGATCATAAAGCACCTAAGGGCTAGTTATAAAGTATCATCATAGATTGATACATACTGACTTTGTGGTGACACTAATGTGTGTTCCTTCTGCCTGTTGCTTCAGCTGACCAGAGAGTACTTCACCAAGGAGCTGAAGAGACATTATCAGGGCTACAACAACACTGATGTCTTCACCTCCACATGGAATGCCATCATGACTACAGTAAGGCCATGGCACACATGCAAAAGTGCTTACATACTGTAGCTTTTAGCAACTCATTGCTGTGGAAACAAAAAGATTAGCAGCCTGGCGTCAGCAGGCTGTGTTTCATGGACAACATCTTAGACATTTAAGTCAATATTCATGCTGAATTGACGCACACACACAGTGGGTCCACTGCCCAATTAGGCACTCAGCAGTAAGGGCTTGTTCTCATATTCTCTCCTCTCCTCCCTTCAGTTTGACTGCTGTGGGGTGAACAGCCCAGAGGATTTTAAGGACAGCCTGTTCAGGCTGATCAACCAAAATCATGTGGTGCCAGAAGCCTGCTGCCAGCGTGCCAGTCAGACCGGGGAGCTGGTCTATATCAGCCAGGAGCAGTGCTTATTGGGCAATATGATGTTCCGCAATAACAAGGTAACTTATGACATCTACTGTGTCAAACTCTCTCCTTCCTTCCAAGCCACCTCCAGATTTAATTAGAGCAGGAAACAGTTCAGGGGTGACATGCAGGGACTAGCTCACTCCTCCATGGCTGATTAGTGCTTTTCCATGTGTTGGTTGCCATGAGAGACCATGTTACTATGTGCTATAGTGTGCAAACACTAGTGTATGTACTGTATGCATTTAAACCTCTGTGTGTGTGTGTGTGTGTGTACATAGGTAAACTAGATCTTTTGTGGAGCACGTTTGTGTGTAAGAAATAGAAGATAATAAGTATATGAATTTCTTACAGTTACACAGCCACATGCCTGTTTTATGTGTGTTTAAAGAAAGCCTTGCAGTGAAATGTAATTACAGTGAAAGCTGATAGGACATGATTTTAGTACTCTCTCCACCTGTTGTTTTTCAAGCCACTAGAACAATGCAGGATATCCACAATGCTTGTCTCTGTTCATTCACACAAAGAATCCTCATTAAAAGGTAGTGAGGCTGGAGGCCCCTCTCCCACTTTTCAGCCTGGCCTTTGTTCACTGTGTTAAAGCTGCGATGCTACTTTAATTGCCTCAGTAATTGTGAAAGTTTATAGCCTATTGATTCTCCGCTGAGCATTATGTCTCTGTGCGTCCACAGGGCTGTTACTCGGCAGTAGTCGACTCCTTTGAACTGTACATCTATGTGGCTGGAGCGCTGGCCATTGTGGTGTTGACCATTGAGGTAGGAAGGTTTTTCATCTTAGTCAAATCATCACATATGCAGCATTTTTCACTTCTCCTGTTGTGTGGATATTCATTTCAGAAATGGGGAATTCTGCATTAAGCTGAATATATCAGCCTGAGCATGTGTGTTGTTGGAAAGCTCTTTGTAAGGCAAGTTCTCCATCTAGTGGTGAAACACTATTACAGGAACAAAATGTGACAGAGCTGCCTTATCCTTTAATTATTTTTTTAACTGTTGGTTGAATGTATCTCTCTAAACTGGGTTCTCTTTTCAAAATGCTTCATGCAGGTCTGTTTACTGACATACAACTCAGCAGGGAAGTTAGTCTCACATCCACAGTACTCTCTCCTGAATAACATTTGTATTTACGTATGTGCATAAAGTCAGATTTCATTATCTGCAATTGAATTTCTTTACTGCATGGATTATGCTATTTTACAGAAATGAATTAGTTATAATGTATTAGGGTCTATTTTCTAATATAATTTTGTTATTACAATACAGAACAAACATGCATATATTCACTATACATACATTTAGATACAGTATGAGGTAGTGAACCCTGTCTTCTGCATTTGGCCACAAATTATCTTATCATAGAAGACGTCCAAGATATAAATGAGGGATTCAGTGCTATTTGGACCAATTAATGGCTTATACATTGCAATTTGTTTTAGATGTATATGTAGCACAATGCAGCAAATTGCAGTCTAATTTACAGTAATTATTTTTTACAATATAGTGAAAAATAAATTTATGAATTTTGAAATATGTGGTCATTGAATGTATCTTGTGTGAATGTAATGAAAAGTTATTCGCAGTTAAAGAATAAGGTGGGTCATTTTTTATATTAATAGTATTTTCAGCTGTCTCCATACACAGACTAAAGTCAGCATTGAATTGCCTCTATTCAGGTCTCATGTCTGTCACTGTGTCAGTGTCAGTCCTGGACTGGCTTCCTCGTCTGTGCCATAGGCCTCCGTTGTTGTTCAAAAATGATTAAAACATCAGTGAAACATGCCGCTGCAATGGGTGAGATATTTCTCCATTAGCAGAGCCCAGACCTGAGCATGGGGAGCCATTGGAATATAGACAAAGCTGAGCTCTCACGCAATTCATTGTCCATTTTAGTCTGTCTATGGAGATTGCTGAAAATACCATTAATATAGAAAATGACCAGACTTATCCTTGAAGTTCATATTGACTGTTGTGTCAGAACTTTTAAAAACTCAGTATTGAGAAATGCATGTAGCCAATTGTGAGTGCAAGTAGTAGGTTTTTTCTGTCGTACGTCTGTAAAAGCAGTTAATTTTTCTGTGTGCTAATGAATTGTTTTCTTCCTTTCCTCAGCTCTTTGCCATGGTCTTTGCAATGTGTCTCTTCAGGGGAATCCAGTAGAGCTGCTCCATCTTTGAACTTCTTTTTTAACAGAAGGGAATTCAGGAGATAAGAACAAAATGGACAATTGTAAATGTGTTGATCTCTTTTTCTAATGACCAATTGGTAGAATAACAAACTTTCATACTCTTGTACTTCACAGCTGGACTTTTGAGGTACTGGGTGGCAAAAAAATACATACACACATAAACCTTAGAGAAAGTGGAAGATCAGTGACAAAACTGTAAAAAAAAAAAAAAAAAAAATTAAAAAACTGTTTAAAATGGAAACTATTTTGTGGACCAGGTCTAGAACAGACTGGGCGTAAAGTGGACCGGGCATGAGGACCAGATGAAGCCTGAGCAGAAGGCACTGCACTGACTTTTTGATGAAGAATATTTATATTAAGTAAAGTTGGCTTAACTGTTAAAAAAGTGTTTTATGTACATATTGACTGTTAACCTTTTCCCTTTCATGGTGTATACTGTAACACACTCCCTCCACATGCCTTTTACAGCCACTCCTCTTTAATGCTGTATTATATAAGCGCTCTCTGTGTGTGTGTGAGTGTGTGTTCATACTGGATGCTCTTTTTAAATGCATATGAACTAACTTGTGAGCAGTGGGCTTATGGCTTTTCATGACCCTTCCCAAGCTTGAAAACCAGCTTCAGATTTTTTTTTTTTCCCGTATGGTGATGTTTATTGCAGTTAGTGATTATATGTGGTTTTAGGTGGATAAATGTATGTGTATGCATTTGTATTAGATTCTTGAACAGGCAGTGACATAAATTGCATTCTAAATGATTGTCCTTGTGTTTTTCTTAAACTCATATAGGAAGAACTTTTATGGTGTGTTATGCCATTAATCTCCATAAGTACTGTAAGTATCAAAGCACAATTTGTGTGTCCAGCTTGCTCAACTTCATTTTTGTTAGATATTTACTATACAGGCAGTTTTTTCAGTTTAACAAGAGAGAAAACAGGCTTGTTTGCTCTTCTGAAAAACTGGTATTTTTACAACACGCCTCATGACAAAATCAATTTTTAAATTAAACCGCTAAACCAAAATCATGGTCAGAAAATAACTGTTAATTTTCTGCTTGGGTGACTGGCCCCTCTCACTATTAGATCATTCTTCTTCGCAGCAACATTTTGGCATTTGAAATATTGAATATCGATGGTTTTATTTACTGACGGACCAAAGAGAAAAATGTGGCCAGAGTCCACATTCAGCTCCTAGTGATACTGTGGTAATGAAATTTATTTAACCTCAGAGCATTAGTATTGATTTCTTTTTTCTTTTTTTTATTGCAGGAAAATGGTGGTAAGAAAAAATGGTAGAGTAAGAATAGTACACTGAATAATAAGATTTGATATAGTTTCACAAATGCCTGTGGAATGCAGCTGATGGGACACAGATAATGCAAAGAAATTAACAATTTAATACAGCAGTTAAGACATTTTAACAGGTGAATAAAGACGGGGAGAGAGATAAATATGGGTTTGTAGTCTAATAACTATTCTTATTTTCATCACAACACTGGCACAGTAGTAGCACTCAGCTTTTGTCAGCTGGTCCCTGGTGACACCTTTCTAACAGATTGTTATAATACTTTTAGCTCAGAAATACTCTGGGGATGAAATGCGAGTGTTCTTTGAAATTATTTAGATTTTATTTTTGAGCGGTTTAAAGTGATTCTGGCCAACAGCTACCTTTAGCCACTAGGGGGCAGAAAAATACCACAGCAAAATGGCCACTCTTATCCTAATATAAAATACAGAATGTTTAGTCAACGTTCTAGCTTCTACGATATTTGGAAACAGCTGCTTATATTCACTTCCAGTGGACATGGAGCAACACAAGCCACATGTTAGCTACCTTTTTGTGTGTATAGCAGGTGACTAGTGGAATGGAAACACTGCTATGGGAAAGCCTGGAGCAGGTGTTTTACAAATAACTGGTTTTTATTATTATCTGTCACACACACACACATTACACAATTTTGAGAGCAACACCATCTTTTAAAAAACTCTATGGATGACTCTAACATAACACAATAATGTAGCTAACGTGATTTTTGAGGCAGATACTGGTTCCAACTCTGTTATTTTGGTCTTAAGGGAACATATTGTTTGCACATATCAAGAAGATCCTTGTTTGGTTTGATTCAGACTGAAGTTTCTGGCAGACTAGAGTGTAGATGAAAATATGATGAGAATCTCTTACACTTTCTCTTACAACAAAGACAAAGTCATTTAAGACCAAAATTATTTAACTATAGGCATGACAGTGTAAAGTACTTAAATAAAATGTAGACATGTCCTGTGTTAATTTTATAATAAAGTATTATATGGTAGTGCTTAATAAATTAAAAAAACACAGGCTGTCTTTTGCACTATAACAATGTTAATCACAAAGTAGACTCTTCAATAATTATATTGTTCGGGATCTTATTTTTATGTCTGCCGTTCATTCCTATTTTTAAATGTGGACAGTTTTTAAAATAGTAAAAATAAAGCTTTATAAAAGTAAAGCCTTCTAAACAGGAATATGGGATTACGGTTTTTCCTACCTGGCATATTTACACACATTTTTAGGGAGTGTATGAACACTTACTAAGCTCAAGGGGAACCAAACAACAGCCAACTGATTGCTCATAGTTTCCTTGCCTCATATACTGGAGCTCATTACAGTCAACACAGATAACAAGAGAAATAATTTATGTGCTATGTATCCTGTGAGCAAACAAGGAGGGTCTTTACCAAACTGAATCATAAATAATGTATATAAACTTTCAGCAGCTTTAGAAGTTTCTTTTCTCTGGCTCTTATTAATTTGCACTGTAGGTGTTTACTCAGGATAAAAAAACCCATAACATTCTTGTAACTTTCTTGTTGTAATATTAGCCTTATCATATAGTGCAGATATAACACAACCGTGCAATACCACACCTCAGCAATGATTGAATTAACCACATGAGGGCAGTAGAAACCTTACTGCTACTCTATCTGCTCACAAATGTTTTTACAAGAAGGGACCTTTGTATTTGAGACAGACGTAAACATGAGGAACTCAATAAGTGTTTATTGATCATAGTTTTATATGCAGGTGATGTGTTTTTCAGCATTTAAAAATGCAATGCATTTGCATTTTCATAGAATGAAAGATGAGAAATTAGTGCAGCTGCTTTCTACGCAAATATAACATAACATCTGCATACATATATTACATGGTTCCCTTTTATTGACTCTGTAAACATTAGCTCCAATGTACTGACTCTCAAGAGGGCTGGAATTTTCATCCTACAAACTTCAAGTGTTGACTGAAGCAAATTTGACATGACTGTAAGTCCAGACCCTCAAATTAAAACAGTGTGTCTTTGGTATTTTAGGTACATTTTGTGTTTGACCTGCTGATCAGAAAGTAAGCACCAGTAGCAGTCAGTGTGTCAGTGCCACCATCCTCCGCCTACGCTTACCTTCACATTTGAAGCATCTACATTGGTTCAGGTCAGGATTTCAGTGAGTATTTAACAGCTGCTAAGTGTTACTGCTGGTCAACATGAGCAGCTCCAGATCCTGCTGGGTTACTCTTTCCAGCATGCTCATGTCACATGACATTCGAGCAATATTAACGTTTGAGGTGCACCCTCCCGGTGATATCATAGCGAACAGTATACTGTAATATTGCTGCTATTGCATCTACCTCTGAGATGACAAAGCTTCAATCAAATTTGAGATGAAATTGAAAGCAGCTGAGAGTCAAAATATAGAAAAGTCAGCCTGATCTATGTACTGTTCAGTGTTTTGTGTTGACATATATTTGGCTGAAGAATACAAAAAGTGGAGGATTTGTTCTGCTTTGAATTTATGACATGAACTGACAATTTGTGGTAAAAGGACTTTTAGAGTGTCTCTGATGATTGTTGCCACCAGAGCATACTGTACTTACTAAAACTTTTAGATCCCCTCTATAGTAACGATTGACAGGAGAACAAACACAGAAGAATATACATTCAAGAAGTTACAGGGTTAGGATTTGTAGTCTTCATGCTGCGGTTATAGGAACTTGAGTAAATGCCTTTATAATAATGTTTGAGTTCACTGCAGTGGAGTGATGTGGTGGTGTGCTCCAGTGTAGTCTTGCACCATTACATGTCTTCTTTTCCTCATAAAAATTCCTCCCAGGAAACAGAGAGAAGGGAGTGAGGCATGAAGGAGAGGTGGGGCTGAGGTGCCCCGTGTTCAGTTTGTTTTAGGCCCCTGTTTGAAGAGGAAATTTTCATTGCTTGATGATTTATGAGTGGTCAGCCTCCCATGGGGAATAGAGAGTCATTTTTCCTGTATGTGATAACCCACCTTCTAACATAAAATGTACATTTTTCCATTGTGTTGTGTTTATTTGGTGTGAAAGGTGTTAGGTCCGGTGGGGACTTACAGGGCCTGGAGAAGGCCTGAGGCCCACTTTACAGAAACCATACTGGGGCCAGATGATTCACATCTGCTGTGATGAGACCGCAGAACCCATTGTAACAATTTGGGAATCAAGAAAATACACTTAACAACACAGTTTGATATGCAGGACATGCAGTAAGCCAAACAATGCTGTAACAGACGAGTCTTGTTGTTGTCCTACAAAATCAGTGGCCTTGGACTCAGTGAAGAAGGCTTTGTGGCACAATGTGGTGCCCATGGCCCATCATGAAACAGGAAGTGAGCTGTAAGGACCAGGAAAGCAGCCTGTAGCGACGGGTTTTCCCAGGCCCAGCATCACCACTGTCTTGAGAGACCTCTTGTGCTCCGTGACTCACTCGTGGAGCATGTGTTTTCAGTCCACAGGACTTGATTTGAGCTAATGACTACAAATAGATGGCCTGAGCTATCCCGTGTGAGAAGACCATGAAGTACTCAATGATTATAAAGGAGAACAGTAATGTTTAGCAGTCAGTTGGTGTGGTAGTGATTGTACGAGGCTAATTCATTTATCTCTGTTTTGTTTTTACTGTCACTGTTCGTTCTGTGTTTTTGCGTTGCTGAGTTTCCTCACAGCTTGAGACTAATGCAGCACCTAGCTCCTCATTGCACACTAGATTTTCTCATCCTGTGGCCTTCACTGTCGAGTCGTCATCTCTCCCTGTCAGTCAGGCCAGGTGGCCCAGTGCACAAGTCCACAAGAGGTCAGCTGTTGTGTACATCTTACCTTTGAACTTTGCAGCAGGGGGGCTTCCTGTGCAAATGCACTGAACAAGGCTGAACTTGAGTGTACAATAAATCAGAAGGATGCTTCACCGGCTCCGTATTCACAAGATTCATAAGTGGAAGCATACTGCCGAGGGGAGAGACAAGATGCTGCTCTGAGGGAATTCAAAACACACACTGATAACAAATTGAAGGGTGTTAGGAGGGAATCAGCAGACAGGCTGCAGGTTTCAGTACGTCGGCTCTTAAAGCGTAAAGGGCTGCACACAAAGGAATTAACTAGAGGGATCAACAGGGTGAGTTGTTTCATTGCTACAACCTTCTGGCTGACTGAAGCATGGTTCATACTATTAATGTTCTACCATATATGGCTTGAAAGTACACAAAGAAAACTGCTTTTATCAATGTATCCAATATACATGCTTCTGAGAATGGTATGCTTGTTACGTTAACAATGCTGCTTCTCTACAATAATACATGGGTGTGTATTTAACCCACTAACCCAACCTTAGATCATTCACCTCTTTTAGCCTGCACCCATGTATCAGTACCACTTTTAAATCGTTTCCCTCTCTGTTTATGTTACCATGTCAAAAAGCCACACTAGACATTTTCACATGCTAATAAATTGGGGTTTTATTAGCGAGAGCCAGTGAAAGATGTGAGTCGTCTTCAGGCTGTCTCCACGGTAACAGACCACTGAGATGCATGTCGGACAACTGACAGACCATCGGCTGTTTGGTGGCCACTGAGAAAATAGAGAAGAGGCTGGAGATTAACCACAGATTAACAAAGCAAGCTGATACCTTCTCAGGGTTGTCATATCTTTTTGCACCGTGACCAGTTTTTATATTGCCAACTTAACTTTTCCTGCTCTGTGCTCCATTGTGATCACTTATAAAATAAAAAGATACAGAAAAGACTACTCAGCACACCTACTTAAGTTCACAGTAGGTATTATTTTCTTGAGATGTGACAGGGAGTGATGAGGAAAAATGTAGAGACAGGCTGCTAAATTTGAGGTAATAGTCTACAATAGCTAATAAAATCATATAATTATTTTTTTTTACTTGCACGTGAGCAGTCTAATAAGAGCACCCATAAGCTTTAATTAGATGTAATCTGAAAATTTGAAAAGAAACCCAGCAGATGTCCTCCACAGTTTGATCATCAAAGCATATTACACTGATCTCACTGACAAAATTGAGTTGTAAGTTGATAGGGGGTCCCTGACCCTGAGCCAGGGAAGTGAGGTACCTATGATCCATTGGCAGTAAACACCCTCTCTGATCTCATCCCTGAGTCAAGTCCTCCTCCTACACTTACTTCCTATTACAGACACAATGTCCTGTCAGATTCTATGAAGCATAGTCATGGTTTGCTTTTGTTATAAAATGTGAATACACTGTCCAAGCAGGTATGGCTTTGATAATATTTTTATCAAATGCAGCACCTGCCTGTTTCTTCTTCATGTTGTTTTGTTATTTTCTTCTTTTCTTGATTGTTAAATCTCACTAAAATCAGTTGTCACCAGTTTTAGATCAGTGGATGTTTAGGATTGCTTTTGCCATGTGACATATAAAGTACCGAATGAGGAATTGGCCCATTTGTCATATCAGCAGGGCCCTAATGTAGCAGGGTGAACTTTGACGAGCCCTAATGGTCTTCATGGTCTCTTAACACTTTAGTCTTCTATTATGAGTGTCAGTGGAGCCTGGTTGGAGCAGAGTGACCCATTAGGTTTAATGAGAGCTGTTCAGGGCACAGTGGGCTACTCTTCTTCCTCTCTACTTGTGTTTATTTATCTCATCTACCCGCAGAGGCGAGGGGACAGGTCTTTGAGTAGTGCTCCATTTTGTTATGTGGGTTTCTGAGTTTATCATTTCTGTGACCACCCAACTGTCTGCTTTAGTATGATGGCCTCAATTGGGTCATGATTGGTGCTTAAAATATTTATATTGCACAGAATATTGCATGTAGGTGGCATAATATATTTTTTCTTAATGCTAACAAATACCAAAAAAGATGAAACCCACTCTTATTCCAAGCCCACTATAGATTATTCCTCTATATGGTAGACCAAAAACTATTAAAGACACATCAGTGAGCCATGGTGATGTTTCAGCTGACGTGTTCATTTGTTATGACGAACATGGGCATTGTGGTTTATTTTGAGTAGCTCCCAGACTGTCCTGCTGCTCTAAATACCTGCTGTGCCCCAAATCTGCAGCTTAAATAGTCTTCAACAAACACACAATTTACTGCCCAGCTGTTTTAGGAAATTATTTTAACTTCTTAAAAATGAATGTAGGTGTTTGTGACCTGTTTGTAAATATTTGAGTCTTCGGTGAGAACCAGTCGACTTGGGGTTGAGAGTCACAGACATGCTAGAGAAGTTAGGAAGCATTGATGGGTTCTGTCTTTGCACAGGATGTGAAGATAAAAAGAAAAGTAGATAATAGTACAGTAAAACTTTGGAATGTTCTGAAGAGTCCTCTGTAAGTTAGGTTTATTGTTATGACCACTCTGAAAGGGCAATTGTATGATGGTATTTCATGTACAGGCCTGCACGAAAGTAGGTCCTCTTCTACCCTTCCATTGCAATCCTACTGGTGCTCTCCAGTTCCTCAAGTTCCTGAGCTGGAGGCTCCGGGTGACAGTGGGCTTCTCTTGAGTTCTCATGCGATCAGAGTGTTCCAGTCAAACTCTTGCACAACAGTACAAAAGTTGGCAATGGTTGCTGGGAGTGGGCAGAGATGGTAGAGCTCCAACATTCTTTGCAGGGCAAAGACCACAGCGATGGCAAGATGTGAATTGGCTCAGGTTATCTTTTTTTCCTGGCTATGCCTTCATGTCTCTGGCGTGAGTTCTCCTAAGTGGTTGTGTCTTTTATGGATGATATTTAGCACAAAGTTCGAAATAAAGGCTGGATTGATTACAGACATAGTTTTTGTTCTGTAGGACAGTTTTTTGATGCACTTATGAAAATATTTTTCTGAAGACTGTTTTGTTGCACGATTGAGCTTGTCTTGCAAAAACTAAGAACATCTGTGGGAAATGATGTTGCATACTGAATTGCATGACAGCTTTCTCTCACCCCAGCCATAGTTCTGCTGTTGGCCAGAGACCACCTGGAGGTATTTAAGGCCCATTTCGGCTATAATGCTCTGCTCAGGGCCTAAGGGCTCAGGAAGAGTATCATCCCATCTGGAAGCTGCTGATGCGAGAAAAAGAATGGGATCACATATCATCCACCTTCAAACCACACACGTTCATCTACAGTCAGTGATACTTTAAATATTTGTATAGTTTGCCAGTTAATTTTGATTATATTAAGCCCTTTATGTCATTTCCTCTTAGTGTATGAGTATCTGTGTACATTTTGGCCTCATTTTGTTGGTTAGCAGTTCAAAGGTATAGACTGCATAAGCATAAACTTTATTTCCAAGTATCAAAAATACAAGTAAACACATGTAAAGTTTGTCTGTCACTATTTGGACCATGCAAAGCTTAAAAGTCAGTATTTTTAAGCAAAGGATCTTTAAGACACTGAAAACCAAAATGTAGTTTAAAATAAAGTCTGTGCTGCATAACATCATTAGTGCTCCTGTTTCTTGCAAGCATTTTGATCCGAGGTTATAAGAGGCGTTTGACCTGCCTGGTAGACCCAGGAGGTAGCAGAGAAAGAGTGCGACAAAGAACGAAGCAAAACCAGGGTTAACATCAGTTTGGCATGTCGGCGATGGAGAGCATTAAAATCATCCAAAGGACTAAAGTTTGACGTAGATATCTGTCTCTCTTCCCCCTGAGCGTGTGCAGCTAGCTAACGTGTATATGTGGCACCATTAGCATGCTAACGTTAGCTTTTCAGTTTTTCTACCTTTGTATTTAATTATTCTGGTTGTAATTTGGAGTCATTCCAATTGACTGTACAATTAGCAAAAAAAAAAACAGCACATTTTCCTGGGTTAGCAAATGAAGTAATTTAGCTTATTTTTGCTCGGTTTTGGTCCAGTTTGTGTTGGACACAGAACTGCAGCCCATGTAGCATTTTAGTGAGAAGTTGTTAAATTCACGCCATCAGCAGGACCAGAAAAGAGGGGAGTTAACATTCAAAGCGTAAGATGAAATCTCTCTTGTTTCACATATAACTCACGGTTTTGTGTGCCAGGTTTGTAACATTGCACATGATGTGATAATGGCCTGAACATTAGTACTGTATCAATATTACTGGGCAGGAAACATAATTTGCTTGTGTTACTGTAGATACATCATCTGCAAACAATGTTAGACATACCTATGCATGTTGCTGAAATGTAAACCTCTTTATTTAACATTGTGTTGCTGCAATGCCCCCGAAAACCATGGGCTCTATAGTCGGTATATATTAGTTTTGGGGCCAGTTATTACTGCCAAGCTACCTGACTGCCACAGCTATCTCCAGCTGTGACCACAGCTGTTTTAAAGAAGAAACTATCTGCCACTCATTCAACCATTGAAGATTCATTCATTTATTTATTGCATTTATTGACTTCAAAAACACCATCACAGAAACACCAAGTTACGTCTGTATAAACAAATGTCCAGCGCCTTAAACAGATCTCAGTGATGCTGTTCAGGGTGGTACCTGTAAATATGGATGGCTTAGGAGACTGTTGGGACAGAAAACCACACACCTCTGGCTTTAGCAAACATACTGCTGTCCCAGTGGAAGTCAAAAATAAAAGCATCTTCTCCAACACTGTGAGTGCAATAACTTATTGCAATGGTACATTATATAAAGTCACAATCAGAAGTAGAAATACTTGATTAATATAAAAAAAATGCTGCTTGAAGCCATAAGAAAATTAGAAAGCAATTTCAACCAGAGCAACTTTTATAGAACAACACAGAACATAAGCTTACACTTCATGGCAATATTACTGTTACACTTCATTAGTTTATCTCTGGAGATCCATTATTTGACAAATAAGCAAAACAAATATACCAGCAAAAGAGCAATATTATTTATGTTGTTCACATTCACACAAAACAAGATAACTAAGGATTTCAATTGCTTTATTTCAGTAGTATCCACACGGATGGAGCTGCGGAGAAGGGGAGCATCGAGGGAGCGCCAGCGAGAAGTTGAACACACAGTCGACAAAGTAGGAAATCAGTCACACATGTCATGCAAAAAAAACTACTCTAACTAAATTTCTTTATCTTAGGTAATAGTGAAGTGAATATCTTTGGGTTTTAGGAAACAAAACATTTGAAGACATCACATTGGTTTTTAGGAGATTGTCACTGAGAGATTATTTTCCTTTAAAATTCAGTTATTTTATAGACCCAATGACGAATTGATACTGAAAATAATTAGGTAGTTACAGCAGTAGAGCTGTGAGGAGCAGAACCAGACTTTCCTGCCGTTATCCACACAAGGGGAGGAAAACGGATATGTAGCCCAGCGGGCGTCATACGGAGATCAGCCAAAAGACTAATGAAGCCTGTCTCTTGCTGCAGCCTGCAGCCCAGCTCTGGTAACAAACTTATTCCAGCAGGGTAACATGCAGAGACACCCCTGCAATCACTGGACATGCTCAGCTACATTCCTGAAGTTCGGCTCTGATGTCATCACTTTTGGCTTGCATTGTCAGGCATGTGACAGGTTATGTGAGTAAATTATGAATCCAGGAGTTATCTTTGCTGAGCCCACGTCTAATGATGTGTTGATTAATACAGCCTGTGCATAGTATGTCCTTACAATGTACGCTGCGATGTACTGCAGTGTTTGCAGGGTAGGACAGCACACTTGGAAGCTAATTCAGTGTGTCAATTCCTCCCGGCTGCTGATTGAAGACGGCATGGTTAGTTGGTGTTGAAGGCTGCTGCTGTGCATTGCTGTTCCTTGTCTGCCAGTGGAGACACTGCTTCCTGTAACCTGAGGCCTGAGACTATAGGGGAACCTGTGGAGGCAGCCCCAGGGGAGGAAATGACACGTTGGTTTGAAATTGCTGCCAATCCAGTGGCTGCCTCCTCCCAAACTAAATTGGCACAGGCCATGTCTGTTCTCGCTCAGTTAGACTTGGTTCACTTATTGCATTCAACCTATGTCCTTTGCAGTGGCATTACTACCCACCACAGGCTAAGACAGAATTGCTTCTTTTATAACTAATTATTGTTTGCTTTAATGAACAGTATGCAATGAAAAGTGACAGAGGAGAAACTCTCAGCACATTCATCTGTGCTAGATCTCATCGAGCAGCCTTGCTTTTTGAAAAAGACTTTTAAAATATAAATACTGAATATTCAGAAATGTACTTTTTCATAAACTATGAGAGATGAGTCTGAAGTGACATAGGAGTGTGAGCAGGCCATTATAGGTTGTATAAAAAAATAAGGCGGAAAAGACAGTAAATAGTGTGAATCAACTTAACACTGTAAATTAAAATACTGCATGATATGGCTGGATTTGGCACAAAATTTTTTGTTTTCTCTAAAATTGGTTTGTAAGCCATATTTATATTGCTTATTTTACTGAAACCCATCTTGAATGTGAATGATAGTTTGTCAAGCCTAAACCCCATATGTTAATGAGACCTGAGAGATCAAGAAATCAAGAATAAACACAACGTCTAAGTAACATCATCTTCTGTGATGTTACCTTTGTATTTCTCTCACTTTCGGCTTCTGCTGACTGTCTTAGTCACAGCTGTTATCTTGGTTGTGGTGGTTGCTGCAATGGGCTCTGTTATCTTTGCGGTCTCTCCCTGTGTTCGGTTGACCTGTGTTATCATTAGTGCTCTCAGGAAAACTCCCTCCTCATCCACAACGCTCGTTGATGGCTGCACCAAAGAAGGGAGCCATGTGGGGGCAGGGTGAAACTGGGCTGGGACATCATGTAGCCCAAGAGATGGCTGCACTGTGTTCCTTGGCCTTCATACGAAGTGCAGCTATGCTGGAGGACTTGCGGTCTGGATCAACATTGAGATCATAGCCATTGATTCCCCCACCCATCCCAGGTCCCCCAAAAAGACTGCCCATATGTGTCTGTCCCATGTGGCTGCTGCCTGGACTGGGCATGGTCAGGAAGTCAGAAACGCCCCCAGGACCGTGAGGGTGTGGGGGCATGCAGGAGGGGACAGAGTCACACGGTACGACACAGCCAGGCACTGGAGATGCTCCACTGCTGCTCCCAATCCATGAAGGGTTCTGGATCTGGAGATGTGTGATGAGACAATAACAGATTTTACACATTCATGCAAACTAGTTGTTCATCATTTTTATCCCTAAAACCATTTACACCTGTGATACCTAGTTGATAATGATGAGTACCACTTGTGCCCCAAATCCATACTACATACCAATTCTATAGAGTATGTACTACTGTACAGTAACCTGTATAGTATCATGTTTTAGCAGTTAGTATCCAAAATTATTTAACATACTTTACCCTTTTCTACTATCAGGAAATTATACAGTATGTGTGATGTTGGATGTGAATCAAACTTTTTTTTTTTTTTTTCCCAAGATTTTTGGAGCAATTTCTCCACCATCTGCAATTTCTTTTCAATTTTTCCCAGATGTGAAAAGCTCTACAATTTCCTTTGTGCATTGAATTGTGGGATAAGAGCACCCTCAAAAATGGACATGCCTTCAGTTTGTGTTAAGTGTGCTTCATTGTGTCATATTTCCAGTGTAAACACGATGCATACTAAGACCTGCTTCCTACTACTGAGTATGTAGTATGGATTTGGGACACGACATCAGTGAGCAGACTGCCTCTCTCCTCCTTTTACCTGTGCGTAGTTCTCAGGTCGAGCCAGTAGAGGCAGCTCATAAGCAGTAGAGAAGTGTGTTCGGACTTGTTGCATCTGACCAAAACGCTCCCTCTTTCTCCACTTGGCTCTGCGATTCTGGAACCACACCTGTCAAACAATCAGGAAAATACCTCAAAACACAGATCAGTCACTACCAAACCAAATGAAATGTCCTCTAGAAACATTTCTCATAGCTTTCAAATCACATACAGTAGAAGCCCCAGTACATTTTTACAGAAAATGGGGCCATTCTCTCTGCTCAGTAAGACACAGTAAAAAAAAAAAAAAAAAAAACTGAACCACATAAAATGAAGACAGTGGAGCAAATAAATTTTGCAGGACATGAAAGTCCAGGCGCAGGTTTTAAGACTTGACGTGTCTTTAAAGTCCCATCCGCACAAAGCATTTGAAGTGAAAATGGTGAGCCTCCCCTGGTGCTGCGCATTTCAGCTCCTCCCTTTGATACATAGACGTCTGCCTCCCTTCAGGCTGCCAGCGTCGACAGATCCACATCTGGGCCTGAAGCCATTCATAAATCACTCTGAGAAAGGTGTACTCTCCCCCACACCATCAGCACAGTTGGATACAGTGGGGAATCCCTCTGTATAAGCCATGAAACTAAAGTTTCCAAGAATCTGACCAAGACTTTGCTTTTTTGTGTTCAGGTTTATTAAGTACTGTATATAGCATATGAAGTAGGTTTTTCTGAGTAATTCCTCTTCCTGAGAGTGACACATGCTACTTTGCAGAACGGGGGATGCTTTCAGTGCCTGCTGACCGACCAAGTGCAGGCCACTTACGCTACTTCTCCATAATTGTGGCAGCCAATGGAGGAAA